AGATAGGGGGACCGCCCTCCTCGTTCTTTAATGTGAAACAGAGGATTTCGACATTTTTATTCCTTGCTTACTTCCTTAAGCCTTTATCCTCCTTATCTCTTTCATGACTTTTTATTTAATACTTTATAACAGCTGTAATAGTTAGTTAGAATCCTATAAACACTTTTACGACACAGTTCTCATTTACGGCAACTCCTTCTGACGTCATAGCTCTAGATATATATAAACACTAGATGACGCTGCTGGCCAATGAGAACCCATAGATATATAAACACTAGATGACTCACCCGCGCTGCTGGCCAATGGAGACCCATAGATATATAAACATAGATGACTCACCGCGCTGCTGGCCAATGGAGACCGATGGTTGTCACATTGCCGCCATCTTGCTACTGGCAGTGCTCTCATTCATAACATTATGGTTTACTATTTAAATAACCATAGCTTGCTCAATTTTCAAAACCAATTTTCAAACGTTTGGTTTTTTATAAAATCAAAGATGTAGTATAATACTGCATACTTATAATCAGGACTTTCATATGAAATAACATTAAGCAGATAAAGCAATAGCTATACACACACACACAAGGTATTTATATTAAATATTTGCCGGTGTATATATATTTCCATTTATTTTATTAATAGTTTAATATTTAAAATAAATTATAAAATAAATATTTTATTATTTATATAAAAATCGGTCTCATGTCACCACTCTGTAACCAAGAGTTGTTAATTTAGCAATGCCTTAGCTTGAAGAACAGGGACACAACTAATGACAATAGAGCATATGTGGTATATTATTTATGATATTCACACCTTTATCGAAGAACCAAACCAACATAAAATGAGCTCACAGACAGGCCAGTTCTGTCTCATTTATCACAATTATTTTTGACATCAGATCTCATATCGTCCTAGTTTTGTATTGAGTTTCTAGATTTGGTAAACAATCCAGAACCTTTGAAATACGTTACCACTTCACAGCACGGTGCGCCGAGTTCTTGTAGTCGAAAAAAGCCCAAGAATAATATAAACTGTACCCTGTACCCTGTCCTTAGTCCATTTACTGTTGTTTGTCTTGTTACCCCGGCTGATATCTCACTAATATCCACTGTTT